GGGGCAACAGATCAGTGGACTTCCAAACTAGAATCACCAAGCCAATCAGGAGCGTATTGGGGGAGAGAATTGTGAGAGATTGAGGAACACATATGCAGAGCACAGTTGGACATGCTAATGATCTCAATATATTAAGCCAGGTATTCAGAACTGAGTTGGAGTAGGCTGGAATACTAACAACTAGTACAAGCAGCATGCGAACCCAGAGACATTATAATCAGTAAGAGTTGCAATGAGCAGAGGTACAAAGAGATTGGCTGGCAGGTATAAATGGCCAGGGTCAGGTCAGCACACCAGTGGATCCCCCTCCCCAGCTGGATAAAAGTGACATAGAGGAACAGGGCCAAGTTGAATTCCTTAGTAGTTGTATATTGTCACACATTTATAGTATATAATACAATGTATTAGTATCATGATGGTCAAAATATTCTGAAAACAGGCAAAATAAGTCTAGATCAGAGATTAGGTGGAAGAAATTTGGTACAAGTTGAGAGCTGTGGCAGACCCAACTCAAACTAAATCAAGGAACTGAGGTAATTGGATAGTGCAGGCTGGAGTGATATGGTGAATGATGGTAAGCTGTTAAGGAAATTGTGAGTCTTCTGGCGACAAATCATATCTGGAAACAGTGCGTAGGCAATGTTAAGAATACTGGAGGACTATGTCAAGATGTTCAGCAAACATAAAAAATGCTGTAGTAGTATCAGAAGACTGCAGATATTGGACACTAGTTTTAATCACATTGGAGGTGCATGAAAGGCATCAGGACAAAAAGACGCAATGCTGGTAAATTGCCGATGATGCCGGGCTGCCTTCTGTACACCCTTGACAATGTGCTAACAGGTGCCCAACATCCAATGTCTTCTGATACCACTTCGCCTGTTTTTGCATCTATCAGATGTCATTGAATTATCACCCAGATGAAATTACCAGTTCTAAGGTGGCAATTGCTGTAGTGAGAAACCTTAAGTGGTCATCCAAGAAAAGAGTTAACAATTAAAACGTGTTAGATAAGAGGCATCAGGGGTTTAGATATATTGGGAGTAGTGAACTGTGGGTAGCCCATACTGGAGAGGGAGGTAGCTAATGGGGCATGTTGGAGCATCTCTCATTTGTCCAGAAATATGGGCCACATCCTGACAAAATAGATGCATGCAGATTTATCTGGATTAGGAGTTTACATTAAGAGTATTGGAAGTATCTGATGTACAGAATAAACAGGACACAGGTATTTATATTTGCTGATATAGGTTCTGTCAATCTATGATAATGCTAAGGCTTAATCTAGTTTAGCATGCAATATGAGCACTCTGATATCAAGTGTATTGGATTCAGATTCTATGTTTTCAACAAGGAATGCAAAAAGGCCTCATATATCTTGAATGTCAGAAGGGAAATTCATAAATGATTGGAAAATGTTTTCATGGTGCCTAAAAAGTTGGAAAGTCTGATATTTAAATTCAATTAATCAGGGCTAAAAGGTTATACTGTAGAGGATATTCAAGATATTGTTCGTTCAAATGACCTGACTACAACAAGCAAAAAATTAACTTAATGGTACAATGACTATCCCCTTACCGGCCTTAACATCATAATAATAATAAAAATATAAAAAATATAAATATGTAGTAGAAATCAATATCTAGTGTACTATCTATCAGCCTTAATAATTGCTTCAATCCAATCTACCATTGAACCTACTAGAAAATCAAAAGTCTTTTGGTCAAGAAGTTCTCAATAAATATTAATAGTCTCCATAATAGCTTTTTTGACCTCATTGTTAGAGCTTTTCATGAGATATAGGTCAGGATAATGCTTCTGAAGCTTATCTTTTATGAGAGCCCAAACATGTTTAATTGAATGAAGATCTGGTAAATAGGTTGGAATTTCCATTCGAGTAATTTCCTGCCCTCTGAGCCATCTCCTAAAATGTAAATGAGTCTTCACATTATCAATAATAAAGAAAACCTCTTCACACTCAAGATGCTTCTTCATATCCTCACATATTCCTACAAAGTCATATTGATCATAAATCGCAATAATTAACTTTCCTGTTACTCCACATCCAGCAGAAGAAGGATCAGGAAAAACTGGCGAAAAGAGACCATGAGTTTGACCATAAAAAAAACCAGTCATTATCTGGCTAATCTTCCTCTCCCCTGTCCTAGCAGTAGGTTCCATACAATCCTTATCCCACTTCTATTTTTGGTATCTAAATACCCATTTTCTCCTCTTTCCTCCATCCCTCTGAACAGCAATCTCATCTCCACACATTACCTTCCTCCTCCACATCTCTTCTACCCAGTGTCTATGAGCTAATGCTCATTCCAATCTCTCCTGAGCTAGATCCTCATCCAAGTGAACCCTCTCTTTTGCTAACAACTCTTTAAGATGACTTTGTATAAGTCTTCCCTTGACTGTCATAGAAGAACCATTTTGAGCAATCTTTTGGACAATCTTAAAATAGATAGTATTGTGATTTTCAAGAGCTTCCTCCACCACAGCATCATCCTGTAACTTGGTAGTCTTAGGATGTTTTCCTCCACTCTTCTTCTCATTGTCCTGTAAGTCTTTCTTTGAGATTGTATTTTTTACGGTTGTGAGGGGGAGGTTGTGGTGGTCAGAAATCTGCTAATATTCCATCTGAGGCTCATGTAACTCAAGGATTCTCCCCCTGGTAAACTCAGAGAGGTGAGGGGTTGGAATAGGCTTTTTTGGATAACGGCAAAGAATAGGAGACATAGTATTTAAAGGAAAAAGAATTAGATAATATGATTGAGTTTTGGTTGAGTTAATGCAATTTCTTTTAACAGAGTTGAAAATGGGAGGGGTTGATAGATGATGGTTGCCATATACCTTGGGCTGTCAGTTATTTTTGTTAAAGAAAAATAAGCTAAAAGAGTTTTATTTCTTCTATAAAATTATATGTAAAAGGTAGGCAGATAATTCAATCTAATGACAGGAAATATCTAAAATTATAATTAGAGGGAAAACACATTTGCCATAGTTGAAAAAAACAAATATAATCTAAAAGGTTTCATATAGTTGAGTTATAATCTTTGCTTAAGTTATGATATTGTATTAAGTTACAAAAATGCCATATTCAACTACACAAATGTTGTATTTAGCCATAAAAAAGTTGTATTGAGTTATAAAAAAGTCATGTTGAGCTAGTAAGTTATATTAAGCTGGCAGGCACTCTAGAGGAGTGCTACAAGTTGTATGCAAGTAAGCAATGAGGAGTTCCGACAGTAAGCTACAACCATGGCATGAGTACTAGAGAGTTCTTGAAAAAAAATTTTTTAACTTTATCAGTATCTCATGTATTCATTCCGGATCTTGGTAAGGTTCAGTAAAATAGAGACCTGTAGCTATTAATTTACCTATCTCCAGACCTCCATCTCTACCAGTAAAATAGTATTACATAGTAAGGTGGGGTAACAGTAAATTAACTGTTTCTGTGTGAGCCCAGTTCAGATAAAACTACAAAGTTCTCTACTCGAGTACAAGTACAGTCATGTCTGTTTAATAATTATACTCCTGCCTAGCAAGCATGTAACACCATTACCCCCTCATCCCACTGGCAGCTATGGCTTCCCCTTACTCTACCCAAGTAAAAGAAGATCAGAATAAGGAAATATATGTCCTGTATAAGCATACAGATATGGAGTATAATAAAATAGCAAAGACTATTGGGGTCTGTGAGGCTACTATTTAAAGGTAGTCACTAGAGTCAAGACAAGAGGTGGAGTTACCGATTATACTTTGAAGCAAGGCGAACCCACCAAGATTACCAATGCCAAAGGTAGAGCAGTAGAGGCTATTATCAATACCGAGCCTCATCTATTGCTATGCGAAATTACCCAGAAGGCAAATATTGGTCTTGGCAAAACTACTATTGACAAGTTCATTTCAGAAGCTGGTTTTAAGCTTCTGATACCAAGGAAAAAGCCTTTTTGGAGGAAAGGACAGAAGAAGAGAAAGGAGTTTGCTAGGAGAAGGAGGAACTGGAGAGGGGCATGGAATTGGGTGGTTTTTGTTGATGAAGCCTTTATCATCTATGATTCAAATCCTGTTGGCAGAAAGGTCAGGATAAGAGCTGGTGAAGAGCTGGAAGAAAAAACCTTGAAGCCTAGCTTTAAGTCAGGAAGGACTAGCATTGGTGTCTATGCTGTAATAATGAAGGGTGGGAGGACTGAGTTAATTCTTGTGAGAAAGAGGAGGGAGGAGGAAGGACTAGTAAAAGAGACAGACTTGGCCTCAATTCCTACTAATATGCAACTAAGATCCACCAGCCATACCTTATCCCTTTTATAGAAGGCCTGGATAGACCTTTTGACAATATCTACCTAGCTGCAGATAATGCTTCCTGGCATGGTGGTGAGGAAAATCGAAAATTGGAGGCAGACTATGGTTTCAAAACACTCTTTTGGCCACCCAACTCTCCAGATCTCAATCCTATTGAGAACACCTGGGCACTACTCAAAAGAGCCCTCAGAAAGTGATTCTCCAGATTGGAAAGAAGGCCCCATAATGCTGCTGAATTATTTCAGGCAGCAAAGGAGGAGTGGGATTTGATTCCTCAAGAGACATTGGATGCTTGGATAGAAAGAATGCCTGAGAGAATTCAGGCTGTTTTGGATGCAGATGGAGATCATACAAAATGGTAATTGGATTTCTTTGAAGCTTAGGTCATGTACTTTCATCTATTCCTTAATTGGCTTTGTATCTTGATTTTTTGTATGGTTGAATTCATTAAGTGTTGTGGTTGTGGTTGCCGGGCAGGGGTATAGTTATTAAACGGACACACTGTACAAGCATGAGTACAGTACGATACCATTCGACCTGAGATGACATGTTCATGTCGCAGTGTCCGTCGGATAACATAGTTCAGGAGCCGGCTTTAGTGATACCTCCCATCCACGTGACACAAAAGAATAAATTAGCCCCGCATCTTCGTCAAACAAAAATACCTCCACCTCGCCCCCTTCGCCGTTTCTACGATAGCGGCGAGCGGAAATCTTTGTACACACTGGGTCCCGACGCCTGAAAAAATTCTGCCTCAAGGGTAACTTAAGATACGGGTCCTTCCTCTAACAGTTGACGAAGAACATTTAAGCAAATCATTACCCGAACCTTTTGCCACCTTCGTTTCTAAACCCAGCTGGAATCAACTTTGGAAAAAAAGAAAAAAGAGAGAATTCCCTTCACCACAAAATAACAAACCGTAATAATGAGCGGCGATAACGGCTCCACTGTTACTACGGTGCAGATTCTTCGAAAGGATACTATTAAGGTCGGTTACGATCTTACGGACACTATCACGGTAGATCTACTACAGAACTTGATCTCGTCAACATATGTCCTGATAACCGACACAAACCTCGCACCTCTCTACCTTCCCGCCTTCGAATCCTCTTTCAATAAAAATGCACTCAAGTATTCCCCCGAAGCCCGTCTCCTCTCATACATCATCCCACCAGGCGAATACTCAAAGTCCCGCTCCACGAAAGCTGAGGTGGAGGACTGGATGCTCTCGGAGAAATGCACTCGTGACACAGTCGTCATTGCACTTGGAGGCGGCGTCATTGGGGACATGATCGGGTATGTCGCTGCAACATTCATGCGTGGGGTTAGATTTATTCAGGTGCCCACTACGCTATTGGCTATGGTGGATTCTTCGATTGGCGGGAAGATGGCGATTGATTCGCCCCATGGGAAGAATTTGATTGGAGCCTTTTGGCAGCCAGAGAGGATTTTCATCGATATGAAGTTCTTGGAGACTTTGCCGGAGAGGGAGTTTGTTAATGGGATGGCAGAGGTTGTTAAGGTGAGTTTGGGTTGGAACGGTGGGGATGTAGAGAGAGTAGTAGCTAATGGTGGTGATAGACAGCTGCTATCTGGGATGAAGCCGAGTTTGCTAGATTGGAACAGAGTTCCGGGTTGATACTCGAGACGGTTAGAGCTAAGAGCTCGGGGAGTGGTATGTTACCTATCAGCATGGCTTGGGTTGACTTCACTGACAGCTTCTAGATAAAGCTCAGATAGGGAACGTTCAGAATGTGTTCAAAGATGTCATCCTGGGCTCCGTACGTGTCAAGGCACATGTGGTATCAGCAGACGAGCGCGAGGGGGGGTTACGGAACTTACTCAACTTCGGTCACTCTATCGGGCATGCTATTGAAGCTATCCTATTTCCACAAATGCTTCACGGAGAGTGTGTGGCAATCGGAATGGTCAAAGAAGCTGAGCTCGCTCGACACTTGGGTGTCTGCAAACCTGGCGCTGTCGCGAGACTATCCAAGTGCTTGACCAGCTATGGCCTCCCGACCTCTCTCGAAGACAAGCGTGTCAAGAAGCTTACTGCCGGAAAGCACTGTGGGGTTGAGAGAATGCTCTCAATTATGGGTGTTGACAAGAAGAACGACGGGCGCAAGAAGAAAGTAGTCCTCCTTGCTGCAATTGGTAGAACATATGAAAAGAAGGCATCTGTTGTTGATGACGACTCCATTCGTGTTATTCTCTCCCCAAGTGTCATTGTCCATTCCCAGAGATCTGGTGTTCCAGAACTGGAAGTTACTCCTCCGGGATCGAAATCTATCTCCAATCGTGCGCTTGTCCTAGCGGCGTTGGGTTCTGGAACTTGTCATGTTAAGAATCTCCTCCACTCTGATGACACCGAGCATATGCTTACTGCCCTTCACAACTTGGGTGGAATCCAGTATTCTTGGGAAGAGGACGGTGACGTTCTCGTTGTGAATGGAAACGGTGGCAAGCTTCGAGCTTGTGGGGACGAGCTATATCTCGGCAATGCTGGAACTGCAGCGCGTTTTCTAACTTCCGTCGCTACCCTGGTGTCTCCTTCGGGTGAACATGATTCTATTGTTCTCACAGGGAATGCCCGTATGAAGCAGCGACCAATTGGATCCCTTGTCGATGCTCTTCGCTCAAACGGAAGTTCTGTTGAATATCTTGAGAGCCAAGGCAGTCTTCCGGTTCGTGTTCCTTCAACATCGGGACTTATGGGAGGAAGAATTGAGCTCGAAGCGAAGGTATCCTCTCAATATGTGTCATCAGTTTTGATATGCGCGCCATATGCTCGCGAACCAGTTACTTTGTCGCTTGTCGGCGGAAAGCCGATTTCTCAACTCTATATCGATATGACTATCGCCATGATGTCTTCTTTCGGAATTGATGTCACAAAGTCGACTGCTGAGGAGTATACTTATCACATCCCTCAAGGATCTTACAAGAATCCGGCAGTGTATGTCGTCGAGAGTGACGCTAGTTCTGCTACTTATCCTCTTGCTATCGCGGCTATCACTGGGAATACCGTTACTGTACCAAATATTGGTAGGAAGTCTCTCCAGGGAGATGCTCGCTTTGCTGTGGATGTTCTCAGGCCAATGGGGTGCACTGTTGAGCAGTCGGACTATTCTACTACAGTTCGAGGTCCACCAAAGGGCCAATTGAGACCCTTGCCCCATGTTGACATGGAGCCTATGACTGATGCTTTCTTGACTGCATCAGTTCTCGCGGCTGTCGCCAAGGGTGTGGAGAGGTCTTCTATAACCGGTATTGCCAATCAACGTGTGAAAGAATGTAATCGGATCGCCGCCATGGTTCACGAACTTGGGAAATTCGGTGTCACTGCCGGCGAGCTGGAAGATGGTATATGGATCCAAGGAATAGACTACAACTTATTGAAAACCCCCGAAGGAGTTCACTGTTATGACGATCATCGGGTTGCTATGAGTTTCTCAGTTATTTCACTCATTGCACCGAATCCAGTCATTCTCCAGGAGAGAAAATGCGTGGAGAAGACATGGCCTGGTTGGTGGGATGTACTGTCTACCTCTTTCAACGTTCACCTGGGTGGTGTCGAGCTTCTGGAGAATCCCCAAGTGATGGAAGTGAAGAAGGGCTCCAATCGCACGATCGTCATTATTGGCATGAGAGGTGCCGGTAAGACGACAATGGGCATCCGGGCGGCTAAGATCCTGAACCGCCCGGTTCTTGATTTGGATACCGTGCTTGAGCAGGAGCAGAAGAGCGCACTGCCAGAGATCATCAAAAAACATGGCTGGGATGGATTTCGGAAGCTGGAATTGGAACTTCTACAGAGACATCTTAAGGCCCACCCTGACAGTTATATTTTTGCCTGCGGAGGAGGTATTGTAGAGACGCCAGTTGCAAGGAATCTCCTGAAGCAGTACTGTTCTTCTGGAGGAATCGTCATCCATGTTCATCGTAATATCGAAAGGGTCATGGAGTTCCTTAGTATCGACAAAACTAGACCTGCATACGTGGAGGATATGGTTGGGGTTTGGAACCGTCGCAAGCCTTGGTATACTGAATGCAGCAATTACCAATACTACAGCCCGATTGTATCTGAGAGTGATCTGGCTATTGCACAGGCCGACTTTTCTAGATTCCTTGCAATCGTTACTGGCAACTCGGATTACCACGAGAGGCTTCTTAAGAAGACAAGATCTTTCTTTGTTTCGTTGACTTTTCCTAACTTGGAAGAAGTGACGGGTGCCATCAATTCTGTCACCATCGGCTCGGATGCAGTTGAGGTGAGGATAGACTTGCTAATTGATCCTACGGATTCAAATGGAGTGGCGACTCCGGCGTTTGTATCTGAGCAGCTTGCTGTCCTCAGGGGCAAAACTCAACTCCCGGTTGTTTTCACTATTAGGACTAAGAGTCAAGGCGGAAAGTTCCCCGATGAAGATCACCAACGGGCCCTGGAGCTCTACCTGGCTGGCATTAGGATGGGATTGGAGTATATTGATCTTGAGACTACCTGGCCTGTTGCACTGCTTGAGAAGGTTACTTCGGGCAAAGGTTATAGCAAGATTATCGCCTCACATCACGATCTTGGTGGAGATCTCTGCTGGAGGAATGCATCTTGGATTTCTAAATTCAACATGACCCTCAAATACGGGGATGTGATCAAGCTCATCGGCCAGGCGAAGAGCATACAAGACAACTACGATCTGGAGAACTTTAGGAAATATGCCGCCACCCACGAAACCCGCATGATAGCGCTAAACATGGGCGAAAAAGGCAAGCTCAGTAGAATCCTGAACACCTTCTTGACTCCCGTCACCCACCCGGCGCTCCCGTTCAAGGCGGCACCAGGCCAGTTATCGACAGTAGAGATCCACCAAGCCCTCTCCCTAATGGGCATGCTTGAAACTAAGAAGTTTTACATTTTCGGCACACCCCTCTCCCACTCCCGCAGCCCAGCGTTGCACAACACGTTATTTCAGTCCCTTGGCCTGCCACATACATACCACCTCTTCGAATCTGCTGACGTCTCTGCCACTAAAGAGATCATGAACACCGAGAACTTTGGAGGGGCATCCGTCACGATCCCGCATAAAATCTCTATAATCCCCCTTCTATCCTCTATTTCAGCCCATGCTCAAGCGATCGGCGCGGTAAACACCGTTATCCCGGTTACTACAGAAGACGGAACGCGCAGGCTTACAGGAGATAACTTTGACTGGGTCGGTATCCAAAACTCCCTCCGCATTGGCGGTGCCACCGAACCGGAGGGCCACTCTACGGCAACAGCGTTGGTAATCGGTGCTGGTGGGACCTCCCGTGCCGCGGTATACGCTTTACACATGATGGGGTATGGTAGGATATACGTTGTAAACCGCACTCCTGAGAATCTCAAGTCTCTAGTAGAGGCGTTCCCAAAAGAATACAATCTCATGGCTATAAATTCCCTCGCCGAAGCCAAGAGTGTGGAAGTCAAACCAATCACCGCGGTTTGTACGGTCCCAGCGGATAAGCCTATTGATGACGCGCTCAAGGTTATACTGTGGGAATTGCTGGCCGGTGGAGCATGCGCGGGGGTTCTAACGGAGATGGCCTATAAACCGACGGTTACTGAGGTTATGACCTTGGCGGAGGGAGCAGGGTGGAGGGTTGTTCCTGGGTTAGAGGGGTTGGTTGGACAAGGAGTTGCGCAGTTTGAGGTTTGTGTTCTTTTTCTTGACTGGTCTGGGTTGCGGCTAATAATTGGGCAGGTTTTCACAGGGGGGATTGTGCCAGAATATGGAGCTGCGAGGGCGGCGGTTCTTGGGGTGTAGGTGACATTGACTTTGAAAATGTGTACTGGTGTCATAGCGTTGGGTGGGGTGGGGTTCAATGAGATATTCGTTATATTATGGTAATACAGGCCACGGAGAAGATCGTAAGATTGTTCATATGGTAATTGAGAGTGATATCTGAGAACTTATCCTACGCCGTGAAAACAACAAGTCTTGTCGTAGGATATTCACTATCATATTCCGGGAGCTAGAATCGTAAGCACCTATAATCACACCTCCCAAAGTACCATTACCAATCTGATGGTAGCTTATTGCTACAGAGAAATTTAACCTGTCCCTTGTTCTACTCTGTTATTGGGGGTCAGCTCGTTTCCACTACACCCACGCCGCCCCTTCCATCCCCCATCCCACTGGCTCCTACTATCCAACTTTGTATGCTAGGCTATATAAAATAGTACTCAGGGGTGCGTGAAAATATATATACATTTTGTGGCGGAGTGCGGCACCATGTGGTCGAAGCACACACTAATGACGTTTTAGGAATGGAGATCGCTCGTCGTGAGCAACAATTCAGAAGCCATGAAGACAAGAGTAACACTCAGCGATTACCATAACAGCATTTATCGAAAAGAAACAATATAGGATGAGTGTCTTTGCACAGTGATACTTTGTAATCACTTAACTGAAAAGGATTCCCTACTCTAATTATGGCATACCTTGCAGATGATCCATCGGCGGACTTGATGCGATGGGTTGCCTTCCAACAATAAGTGTACTAGGCACACTTCTACCCTCAAGAAGGATGACATTCAAGGAATAATCTCCTATACTCATGGCTGCAATACTTGCTAGGTGTCTCGGGAGGAAATTAAAGACAATGTTGGTTTCTCCTGTCATCCTAATCTTATTCAGGATATCCTTTCATTATATTGATATAATAAATGTATACGTTATTGCAAGTGGGTAACAATACTTGAAAATCGGGAGAGGGGAGTACAGAAGTGTTAGGAAAGGTTACAATAAACTCTGAAGTTTATACAATTCAGATGCTTGATCAATATCTGATTCCATTTTGGCATAAAGCATGTGAAGAGTATAAGGTTATAGCATTATGTGATACAGCTACCCTAGAGTTACTTGGTTGTCAACAGGAGGATTTTGCTTAAATAAGTCTATAGTTATGTAAAGTGAAAGAAGTTAGAAACTGATAAAAGATAATGGAACTTACTAGAACATGTCAAAATTAGAGGATTAGTAATAATTCAATTTTTCTTTTTTATATAAAGGAATATGTTCCTTCTTTCATTCAATTGTTTACTTAACCAGTTAATTTCTGATTATTACTTGTACTTAAAATCATACTTCTTTCCCACTCGCTAAAACCTGCTCTTACAAGCTCTAACCCTGAATCCTTGTTCTGCACTCTGGTTATTTTGTTTTGTCCAGCCTTTTATATTTTCACTCAAATCCTTTATTTCTTTATTTTTCTTCTATAGTGTGATTTGGTTCTCTTAAACCTTTAGTACTATCTACTAAACAATAGCAGCAAAAATCATTACCTGCATACTGTGCATCCTGTCTGTCTGCTGCATGGGATATGCAAAAGGATAACTGTGAACCAGGATGCAACATTGTACATACATTGTGTTCTGATTGAGGTAGTATATATTTCTACATCCTCTGTTAGGCGGAGATAATCTGTATAGACTCAGAACAGTCAAGGCCAATTGAAATTTGTTCATAGAAAGAGATTTGTCTAGGAAGGCTCAAGGAATTAGTTGTTTCATTTATGACAAGTAAGAGTTGAGAAAAGTAGAATTGAATTGTGAAAACAATATTATATTGTTAAGATTTCTTCTCCATTGCTTGATGATGTCTAAAAGCTTGGAAGACACTTCAATATTTATATTCCACATCTGACTGTTCATGGACTACCTCTATTCCTCATACATATCAGGTACCTCTTTTAACTATAACTTGAAACATAGGGTATTCTTCTGAAGTGCAAACACTAGAAGATCCAGAAAACCATCACCTTGTCTTTAATAATTACTATCTTGTCAATTGGGAACTGTACTATTTCTAATAGTAATTATCTGATCTTCAGAGTTATTAGACAATGGCCTAGTTTTCAAGTCAAACTGAGTTGGCCTCAATGTTCTCCCTGCTCGATGAAATGATCAGTTTCATCTGTGAGTTGTATATGCAGAGGTAGTTGTAAATGCAACCTTCTTAGATCGCTTGACTTCAAATATCTATAACTCCTGATCTAAATCACAGATGTTTTTGGAATAACTTCCTTCTAATTTGCAGGAGGCTATTCTACTAGATTGGCAGATAATCCCATGGTCAGCAACTCTTAGCTGTTCTAGGTAACATGTTTTAGTTATTCACTATTCTGGATAATTCCTACAATCACGTTGTATCCCTAGACTTAGTTGTAATACTCTGCAAAGTCTATTGCCTTTATTGCTAGTATCCTTCTGAGTTCTAGACTCTCTTGACTATTGTAGGATGGATGAGAATGTGTTGGCTTTTCACACAAATCCTTTAACATTCAATACCATATCATTTGTACGAAAACATCATGTTACATATGGTTAATTGCAAAGATGCTCAATCTTAAAAGCCTAGCAATGCTCTGCATAGTTAATATATTTATACAGTCACTTTGCAGAAGTGTTTGTGATCTGAGACAATGTTTAATTGCGGTTACGCTATATGGTGAAGCAGTGGCGGTGGGGTTGTTAACAGGCATACGCGTGAGCGAGTTCAAGTTCATAATCAACAACTACTGGCACCTCTCAACATTCAATGGTCAATTGACCTGCTATAAATTAACCAGCTAATATTTTGTATAACCTCCCCTTGCTTCTAAAACTGCAGCCACCCTACCAGGCATTGATTTCCAGAACTTTTCAAAAAACCTCTCAGGAATTGTCTCTCAAACCAATAGTAATACATCTGTAAGTCTTCTCCTAACACCCTCTTTTCCTCTTAGAGTATCTGCAATCCTTGGATACTGCTGGTGCAATCGCTTTTTAAGCTCAACCCATACATGCTCAACTGGATTTAAATCAGGGGAATAAGAGAGGTGGTCTACAACCTCAATACTGTTTGTCTCCAACTAATCGATAACACTATATGCCTTGTGAATAGGAGCATTATCTTGCTGAAAAAGAACATCTTCAAGTTGTATACCAAAGGAAATCATTTGATGAATAACAGGAAAAAGATATCTTCTCAAAAGTCTAACATACCTGGTCTTATTGATAGTTTGAGTAATAGAAACTAATAGACCTTTTCTTTTACCCCAAAAGCACCCCCAAACCATAAGTGAGATTCCCTTATCCTTCTCTTTTAGGTGTACACAATCAGCCAACTACTTCTCTGCAGGTTCTCTGAATACTCAATGTTGATTTAAATCCTTAGATTTCTCCGCACTGCACTCATCACTCCAAATCACTCTTTCAAAATCCTCAGCTGTCCAGTCCCTATGAGCTGTAGCCTATCTTAATCTCTTAGCCACATGATCAGGCTTTAGTCTAGATCTTGACTTAGCTATCCATTTTTTAATATTTGCTTCTCTGAGTACCCAGTCCACTATGGAGGCAAATTTAGTAGGCAATCATATCCAGTCACTCTGGGTAGCACAAAGAGTTACCAGTATCAAGAGAAATACCGGGTGCATAGTAATACTTGAAGGTGCATCTGGTCATTTTCTGGTTGGACTTGACTGCCTGTATAATTGTTTGATGCTGTTGAGCACTCAAAATGGGGGTGCAACTGGGATGAGTAAGATTTTCAAGAGATTGGCGTTCACATGCCTGGACAAGAAAGCTCTTAACTGTTGTCCATAGGTGTCTAATAATTTGAGCCAGTAAGGCAATGTTCCGGAGGCAGTAGAAAAAGGCGATTATTATGTCCTTCTCTGCAAGGCTCATTTCTCTCCTGGTGCTTTTAGGTGGAGGTCTTTTTTTGTAGCATATTTCGTATGTCCAGAACGCTTAACCATTGGTAAAAAAGGTAGAGAAAATTAATAAATTAATCAATTAGGTAAAGGAGACTGGGGTGGGTGTAGATTTGTAAATGATTACGGTCACGATGGGGTGAACGGTCACGATGGGGTGAACGGTCACGATGGGGTGAACGGTCACGATCAACATTACACTTCATTAAAAGGTAGCATTTTGGTGAGGTAGCTTAGTCTTCTGAGACTGGTTTCATGAACACTTCTGCCAAGTGACTGTACCTTTCCACTATCCAGACCTAGCCAAAAATTCTCTCCTATATATTTTGTGAACAGATCTGGTCAGATAGATGGTAGCAACATATACAGTGTTATTCTGACACCTTCAATTTTGTGACATTATAGTCACAGGATGCAACTAAGATTAATACGTAGAATAATGTGCAAGACCCATAAGTTGGCCAGAGGGGAGTATTGGAGACCAGTGATTCTGATTGCTAGTGGGATTATCCTACTTAGAGTGGCTTCTAGGTATTATATTCTAGTACTCCAAACATGAGCTCTCTCCTCTTTAGGCTTCACCTTAAATGCCTTTTTGAGTAAATATTTAAACAAATTAAAAATTAAATTTAACCATAAAATTTGAACATTAAACCTTAACTGATTTAGGACCTGATGAAATGAGAGTAAAAAACATTCAACCTTTCCCTTACCATATCAGGAAAACCTTTTCCTCATCTTCCTTACTCTGCCCACTATGGCATTTCCTGGTTTTCTTAGTGGAATTCTTCTACTATTTCCCTTACATTATCTATGCCTATGGTAGGCTTTCAGGTATTCCCTTCTTCTGAAAATCCTTGCCATTTTACAAAGTCCTATAGTTCCCATACCTTTTGGTAGCGACCACAAACTCTCCTTTAGTAAAAGCTAATCTCGCTTCCAACAATTTTCTCTATCTCCAATTGTAAGTTACCCTTAATATCTTTGAGCTCTCTGTGTGGATGTCTATAGTCTTCGCGTACTGATTCCATATAATGTTCTAACAGGGACAGGTGAAATATTATTTGTATATTTCAATGATTCAAGATATTCAGTTTAAACATGCTGCTCACTCGTTTTCCCAATATCACGAATAGATCCTATATTTTTAGGCTCAGTTTTTTTGACTTTTGCTATATGTGAATGTTCTTTGTACTTAACCACAGTTTGTCATC